CATTCAGATGAGCGGCAGAGATTGCGCTAGACGTTATGTTCCTAAAAACAACGTGTTAACCCGGGTCATCTTAGATCATTGACCTACTTTCACCATTAAAGATCGATGAAGCATGTCTATTGCGGTTCCAGTCATTAATAAGTTCAAAAGAAACCACAGAAACTGTTTCCTAAAGCAAGCTCTCCAGTAAAAAAGCAGGTTAGTACAATTTCGTTGTGACCGAAATCCATGACTCTAGTTCAACAGAATTTGTTGTAGTTGTAAATCCGAGTGGTTTATTGCCTGAGGAGCTTTCTCAGAGATGTATGGCTTCGTCTAATACTTCGTTGTTGCACCAGATTGAACGGTTCCGTAGAACTCGCTTTCCTTGACAGGCACGGCCTGACTTTGACCTGACATAGGTCAGCCACCTTACAAGGTACATCTGTTTTTTACACTGAAATCTCCGCTTTTCGAGGGTTTACAGCGTGGAGCTACGCGGTTCAATCGCGTCAGGCGACGGGTAGGTAACCCGTAGCCACATGTGTGCGCTAACCCTCACCTGGAGGGAGCCGTTCTCACCCATCGCGTCAGGCGACGGGTAGGTAACCCGTAGCCACATGTGTGCGCTAGCCCTCACCGGGAGGGAGCCGTTCTCACCCATCGCGTCAGGCGACGGGTAGGTAACCCCTAGCCACATGTGTGCGCTAACCCTCACCGGGAGGGAGCCGTTCTCACCCATCGCGTCAGGCGACGGGTAGGTAACCCCTAGCCACATGTGTGCGCTAACCCTCACCTGGAGGGAGCCGTTCTCACCCATCGCGTGAGGTAACGGAGTGGGTAACGTCTGCCATCGCTCTCCAACTGGGCTGGAGTCATGAGGCAAAAAACAGTGGGCAGCATGGTGTTGAAAACATTCGGTTTGATCCCGTCAGATCAGAGACATGGCGCAACCTTTTCGTTAGATCAGGGATGTAGCTTTTTCTGTTCACTTCGGGGGGGGGGGGGGACTGGAGCCCGATGGTGGTGTTGATTTTGAGCAGCGTTCCGACTGCGGGGCCGTTTCGCGCCGGAGTTACAAGGCAACGGCTCAATATCAATGGTTGAAAACAAAGAAGTCACGACCTGGAGATCGCCGCCGGCCGGAAGGCCAATATGGCTGGAGATTTCCAACGGTGCGCAGATGTGTCAAATGCTAGCAGGACTCCGCTACACCGTATTTGGGTTCTAGATTTAGTTGTGTTTTGCTGTTCAGTCCACAACTTATTTTGGAAGACTACATCACTGCTTCAGATCCTGCTAGATCAGGTCAACCATGATGTGTTGAAATAATATCTAAGACGGCTTCCTAGAACATGGAGCGGCGGGTTGGGACGTCGACATGCAACAAATCGCATCCCTGAATCCAATATAGTGCAACAAGCTATACAGGGCCCAGTAAGCTCGTGCAAGGCCATTGCAGATCACTGAATTTGCTTTACCCTAACGAGATTGTTGGCTCATATTAAGTAAAGTGTGTGCCTAAGTGCTAACATTCTATACAATTTCGTGCTCAAGGTGTTCAGTTATTGCCATTGACCAACGAAAAATGTTCTGGCAAAAATCACGCGACAAAGCGTGAAGGACGGCGTCATGAATAAGTGGTCTGACTGACGTGACACGCTTGACAATGAAACACGCCCAAGCCGCTATACTGTCTTTGGCGTTTGCAAACTTAAAACTACATGAAGGCCGCTGTCGGAATCGTCAAAAACGCGTTCACAATCTTACCCTCCTCGCTTTTTTACCTACGGTGCCTTTTACAACTGTGATGGTCCTGGCATTACGGAGTCCGTTTGTGGTTATTCCACGTTTGACATGTGGGGTGTAACGCATGCCCAATATGCAGAGTAATTAAGAGGTGTCAACACAAAATTTTGAGTAAAGTATATCACAACTGCATGGCTGCATGGCAGTGAGAGGTACGTAATTTAAAAGTGCGGAAACTTCGTCGAGAAATGACTGTAGTTACGTTTGGTTTCTACGGAAAATATGGTTGACATGGTCCATAAAACAAAATTTGTTGAATTTTGCGTGTCGTTTGTTTGAGAAAAGCGGCAACGCCCAGGAATGCCTCATGTTAACGCATAACACGCGGCAAAGTCACACCTTAAAGTAAGTCATGTGAAGCCATGCCGATGGCTGCTGTTCTGTAAATTAAGATCACATCAGTTTAAGCTCAAAATGAGCACGGCGGCTGTCACTGTGCACTCCGATGGCGCTTGAGAGCTGCCTTGATGGCTTGCCTCGATATGGAGGACGTTCGCCGCCGGTCTTTATGGCTTGCCTCGATATGGAGGACGTTCGCCGCCGGTCTTGATGGCTTGCCTCGATATGGAGGACGTTCGCCGCCGGTCTTGCTGTTTTGGTCACTTCTGACGTCGGCCATTCTGGTGATTTTGTGTACAGCGCGTATGTTCCAACGTGTATTACGTGACTCCTCAATGCTTCTCGTATCCTACATTCTTCTAAATCACAGATGCTTTATTAGCACATCCGCATGGCATATTTGTGGTCCCGTTGTGTTACGACGAGATTATAATTAACGTCAATAAACGTCAGCAGAGGAGAAATGCCAGGAGCATCAATTCGATCCGACCGCGACCTAAAGTTTACGACAGCCAACGCAGCAGATCAGCAGGTGGCCCTGCATGAGTTGACGCGCTCATTGTTTTAGTGCGGTGTTACTTCGTGAGGCACTAACGTAAGTGACCCTCATCGATAGAAAACGCTTCGCGCGGAATTTCAACAACGTTAGCTTTGACAGCTCCTGCAGCTACTTCTCTGTGGGTGGCGAATATTGGCTACCACCTTTGAAAAGACGGTTTCGTATCTTCCGTAAAGTGTCTTCCGTTGCCCTGATGCTCGTGAGTCAGTGCCTAGTCGTGAGTTGTTTGCCCTATAATTTAGCGCTCACACTTTCCAATCACTGTGTATGTGGGCGAGTAGTAAACAGGTACGCACACTTCACCAGTCTAATTTTTCAGCATTCCATTGAAAGCGTGCTGTCTTTCAGGTGGTTTCTGCACTTCTACATCGTGGGCACCATGGAGGTCACAATGGCATTAGCACAAGTGATTCAGGTGAACATCATTGGCATGCCTGTGCCACCGTGGCTTCAGCAAGCCCTTAGCTGGCTGACGTCCTGCGACGCCCCGTCCTGCTCGCCCGAATCAGTGGTGCTGGCCATGTGTCTGCTCACGGCGCAAATCTACCGCAGGTACGGACTCACGCTCCTGGTCCATGTGTCTGCTCACGACGCAGATCTGCCGCAGGTACGGACTCACGCTCCTGGTCCATGTGTCTGCTCACGCGCAAATCTACCGCAGGTACGGACTCACGCTCCTGGTCCATGTGTCTGCTCACGACGCAGATCTGCCGCAGGTACGGACTCACGCTCCTGGTCCATGTGTCTGCTCACGACGCAGATCTGCCGCAGGTACGGACTCACGCTCCTGGTCCATGTGTCTGCTCACGGCGCAGATCTGCCGCAGGTACGGACTCACGCTCCTGGTCCATGTGTCTGCTCACGACGCAGATCTGCCGCAGGTACGGACTCACGCCTGGTCTATGTGTCTGCTCACGGCGCAGATCTGCCGCAGGTACGGACTCACGCTCCTGGTCCATGTGTCTGCTCACGGCGCAGATCTGCCGCAGGTACGGACTCACGCTCCTGGTCTATGTGTCTGCTCACGGCGCAGATCTACCACAGGTACGGACTCACGCTCCAGGTCCATGTGTCTGCTCACGGCGCAGATCTGCCGCAGGTACGGACTCACGCTCCTGGTCCATGTGTCTGCTCACGGCGCAGATCTACCACAGGTACGGACTCACGCTCCTGGCTAGGAATTCATCGTGGGGTGGAGTAGTAACTGACTAGAGATGCTCATTCCATGTAAAAAACACATGTGGATAATCCTAAGAATAGCGTTATGTTTGTAAATGTGTTGACAGCGAACCTAGGTGTGCGTGAGCTCTCGAACTGCGGTAATCCCGCTGCTCACGCTTCCGCTGTGTCGTTCTGTTGAGTCATGTGCCTTTGTGCTGAATTCATTCATTGCCATTGTCCTGTCATTGCTTAGCCACAATGGCTGGCTCTGTCCTCGTTGAATGATCTGCGTTGGCCTCAAAATGCGCAGAAACACGCTCCAAAACGCTCTGCCTGCCCGTATCTTTCCGGTTGTGGTCGTTGGTTGCGGTCATCCGCTCTGATCCTGTCACTGTCGTCGCGTTGTCACATGCTGCTGTCACTCCCGCCCACCGCCCGTCCTTTCCAGGCTGTACGAGCACGTGTTCGTGCACGTGCCGTCGAACACCAGGATCCACCTGGGCCAGTACGTGGCCGGCGTGCTGCATTACGTGCTTGGCGTGGCCGCCGTGCTTGCCGAGGCTCCTGGCTTCGTTGAGGACGGTGAGGGTGGCGGATGGCCTCCCATTGGCGGCCTGCCAACCCGCCGCACGCGGCGCGAGCGAGAGGTGGTGGGTGTGAGACTCACCATCGACCGTGCTTGCATTTATCCCACTATAATCGGCGTGACGGCAAAAACACGACTCTATTGACATCGAACAAAGTGATGTCATTGGGATAAGATGTGGTTACGGGCTGTAGCTGTGGCTGTCCGTATCTGGCTGGATGTCGTCCCAGCTGTAACCTTTGCTGTCGCAGACCTGACCTAGAGTCGAGAGAC